TTTCAGCTGAGCCATCCTGCCACCTGTTGGCTGCTCAGTGGCAGCTCAGCTCAGGCCGGGCATCGAACTGCTGTTGCTCAGAGCTCACACTCTTGAGCGAGCTCTTAACCAACTGAGCCACTTGGCCGGCCTTGGCATTCTTAAAATATTACCTTCCTATCCGAAAATAGGGTATAAGCTTCTTATACTCTACCTTAGTAAGGTTTTGTAGTTTTCTTCAAAACTATGTGCTTTTATGCTATTGTGCGTGAAAGTTTTTCATTACATTTTCTAACTGCTCTGCTTACTTTTGTAAACTGTTGATTTTACTTTTGTAAATTATTGATTTTTTTATATATATATTTTATAACCAGCCACCTACCAAACCCTTAGTCAGAGCCACATTGACTCTAATAGTTCAGTGAGCACTGATCTTCTTTTTAATATGTTTGCAGGCTGTTTGTAGTCAAAACACACACGCATGAGTGCACATGTGCACACAGACTCACTTCTATAGTATTTCTGTTACAGATGTACTGCATAAGCAAGGTCCATCACTTTATAATTTTTATGATTTGTATTCCTTCATTTAGTCCGTCTCCAGTGATAGAGATCAATTCACATGGCTAACAGGCATGATGACTAAAACATTTCTGTTCCAGGACTCTGCAATCTTAGCATCTTAGCAATGCAAAGGCTGTTTAAGCTGATACAATTCAAGACAATGAAGTAGTGCTGTGCAGAGAAGGTAGAAAAGGAGAGCAAAGATATATAAAATTGAGTCCTGAGCTGTAGTTAAAAGCATACTGTTAGTCTGTCTTTCTTGTGATGTTTGAGATCATTATTTGTTTCAATCAGCAAATATACCTTTCCCCCTCATTCACAAGGGAAATAAATCAAAGGAATAATAAAGAAAAGGTAATTTTATCCAGTAGAGGGAGTACTTGCTACATATAGACTCAATTATATTAGAACTTTATTATTTCCAGAAATGGGACTAATTTTTTAATTCATGAATTTTGAAATATTCTTTCTAAACCATATCTTATCTTTATTTGAACATAATATGAATCATATTTTTATGAAAGAGCACGAGAATAATCTTAGCAGAAGGAGAGGAGGTCAATAAGAACACTTAGTTTATAGTTTCACTTTATCCTCTAAAAGAAATGAGATTTAATTTTTTTAAATATATGTCATTTTCCTGAGCTGTGAAAGAAAGGTGGGGGAGGGATTAATTAAAGCAAGGTGAGAGAAGTAAGATTCCTGTAGGAATATATCAGGATTAGAGCCTAGAGCTCAAATAGAGCTAACATTTCAATTTTAAATCCAGAGAAATACAAATAAGTAGAAAATAAAGTAGAGCATAATCTTTCCACTCAGGAGTTTCTGTGTTAAAATATTATTTTAAAAATATAAGTAATACCTGTATAAATTTGGGAATTTCAAACTATTCTTAAAAACATTAAATGAAAAATAAAATCCTCCCCCTCTCTTCTGTTCTTTGTGTGCTGGTCTAGAAGACTAATTTTAGAGTTCTTAGAATGTGAAAACTATTAAAGGAAGGATGATATATTGTGACAAAGATGAAGATTTATAGCAAATCTCATACCTGCTATGAGCATTAATCTGTTGAAGAATCAGTACCCATTGTTCTGAGATCTGAAATAATTTATAGCTCACTCAGTCCGATTTTCCTTCTTCCCTGCTTATTGTCCGTCTCCTCCTTCCATAGAGGACACACAGCTAATGATAACTAAGTATGACTCCAGCTATAGAAAATATGGAGAGCAGTCCTGATTTTCCCCAGCCATAGGACACGTTACTCTCTAATGTCCGTCAGGGTCTTTGCTTTATCACCTTAGGAACAATAAAGCAACTGTCCTCTGCTGACAACTGCAGAAATCATTAACACATTGTTTATTCATTGATTTGTTTTAACCTTTCTACCTCAGAAGACAGACAGGATTCAGGCTGGGTTAATTTTTCTGTCCAAAAAGAGTGATACTTCCAAGATAAAAAAGAAATATTTAGACAAACTATTTTGGGATTTATTAGTAGAATCTGATTTGAGTAGCAATTCTAAGAATTTATAAAACATAATTGGAATATAAGTAACCATCTTACCATTTTTCAGTTCATTTAACATATTTAATGTCTGCTATGATCTGCAAAGATGTCTAAGACATTGCAAAGAATATGTAAAAATATATAAAATACTGTCCTGTCATGTAATTTATAACACAGCTAGGAAGATAATACTGCATGTCAAACAACTAGAAAATAACACAAATGATTGCATTAATATTTAATAAGTCCTTGCTATGTGCCAGGTACTTTTCTGAGCAATTTGTATGCATTATCTCACCTATACTCAAAACTGACTCTCTGAGCTTATTTCATTGGTAATATCCTTACTAAGTCATTTGACCAATGTCACACAATCAATGACAAAGCCAAGATTTAAATCCAGGTCTTTCTGCCTAGACCGCTTACATTTTTTTATCACTCTGTTTCAGGTGTTAACAACATTTTAAACGACATTTTTAAGTTTTGCCCAGGAGTACTAAATTGGTGACTAGATTGAGATTATATACTTTTGACTCTAGGATTTTTTACTCTAATCGATACCCCATATTTTGATATTGTTTCTACAAGGAAGAGCTATTTCTATTTAAACTCATTCCTTTAGCTTTTTGCTTAGCTTGTTAAATTCACACACAGACTGATACCTAGTATAGATCCATGAGATTTGGATAACAGAGCCAAATCATTTCTCATATTTCTCCAAGTTTCTGCATGTGAACTTGATAAGGGGCATATCAGGACTACAAAATGGGTTTATTTACTTTTGGCTTTATTGTCAAATTATTTCTGAATTGATTTTGATCATATTACTTTACATGTTTTATATCTGATGAATATGCATTGTAATTTTTTTAAATTTAAAAAAGAAAAACACATCCAACCAAATAAATTTTAGGAAATTAGGAGTTTGTCTAAAAAATATTGAGACTTTGACCAGCAAAAAAGCAAAATTAGTAGGTAACTGAAAGTAACAAGTTTTCTGTTTCATCCATTCTACCCTGTACAGCTCAATAGGTAGTTAATAAGATAATTAGATAAAGCAGTAAATGTTGCTCTTTCCAGTAAAATGCATTTGATGATGCAATACATAGAAAGTTTCTTACTCCGTTATGAATGGCTTAATCAGACATGCAATGGTATTATCTTCCCAGCTAAGTTATAAAGTACATGACAGGGCAGTATTTTATATTTTTTCTTATATTCCTTCCAGTACCTTACATAGCTTTTTTTTTTTTTTTACAAACTACAGGTAGAGAAGATACAATTAGGAGGTTTTACACCTAAATTATACAGCTTCTATGTCTACAAAGAGAAAAACAATATGTTATAATGGAAAGACCATAGAGTTTACAGGTAGAACCATGTTTTAATTGTAACTCTCAGCTCAGCAAAGAGAACCACTAACACTCGTTGGGTGAGGCTTCCTTGGGGAGTTGATTCTTTCTAGCCTTTGAAGGCTAAAAACTGAGGAAAGGCATTTCAGCAGAAAGAACAGTTGCAGGCTGAGTTCTCTCAGTTGGTGTGTCTACTTCTTCATGAGTTCTGCACCTCTGCCATTTGTCTCCAAGCTTCATTTAGTGTTATGACACCTTCCTTCTCTCCCTTTTCTAAACAGCTCTTCCCCTGAATATTTTGACTTGTCCTCCCACCATTTGTCCCTCCTCTAGGGATGCTCAGGAACACTGACAATGGAACCTCAGAAGAGAAGGGCAGGGGGTGGAAACGCTAAGAGCAAAACACTAAGTGGAAGAAAAGTTCTGGAAATGTTCGATGGTGATGGTTCACAATGACGTGAATGTACTGACTGCCACTAAACTATATGCTTAAAAATGGTTAAAATGGTAAATTTCATGTTATGTGTATTTTACCACAATAAAAAGAAAACAAATTAAGGAAGAAGGAAAAATGGTTGTGCAGAGGAAACTTGTCCTATGACGGATCCCACAAGGCTGATTTTTTTATGGGAATCTTGATGCAGAACAGCATTCTCTTTCCCGGTAAAGTTCACCAGAGGAAGTTTACATCAATAAAGAAAATAATAAAACACAACCATGGATCCATTCCTCAATCCACTCGTCTGCTTAAATACTCTTTTCTTAACAATGCCTGGGAAAATCAAAAAGCAACTCTTTCACCTTCTTCTTTGTGAAAAAAGAAAATAAAGTTAGGAACAGTATATATTGGACTCTGTTACTGAATCGTGTTAAAGAAAATGCCATGTTATTGGGTATTATGTTACCTTGGCTAGTTAGTTTATATATTCTCTAAAAAGCATTCTATGGTAGATTTTCAGTTTGATTTTCAAACTTCTTAGCATCCAAAATTGTTTGTTTTGTTTTGTTTTGTTTTATCCACAAACTGAATTTTGAGCAGAATTTTCAGGATATAAAACAGACCATTCAGAAAGCGTAGTTGGGCTGGTAGAGGTTAGTAGGGGGAGGCCTGAGAACGCTGCTCGAGCTTGGCCTTCCCTCAAGCCCCACTCGCCCTGGAGGCTACTGGAAGTCTGAACAGGTTGCAAGCCGCTGCCCTATGATCATATGTAAAATTGATGATAGCTTCAATCGGTTCATGGTCATTTCTGGGCTCTTAGCATTATGACTCCCATTATGTCATTTCTATGAGAAAATCAGATTTAATGTTTTTCAACTTACAGCACCTTTTCTAAGATTGTAACCTGACGTAAAAGAGAGATGTGCCTGTATCAGTTGTTAAGATCATAGTGGTTTTGGTTAACTATATGATAGGTAAAAACCCTTAAATTTTCCTAAAAGTATATTATTTGAAATATATTTTCACATAGTGTGTCAGCAGTGATTTAAGGTCTTTTCTGCTTTATTTGTGAATTTCAGGTTTTAGAAAGTATTTGCTGTTTAAAAAACTCTTGCTGTTTATCTAATGTTGAATTTCAAATTGATTGTCTTTAAATGAAGGCTTTATTGAAAAGGCTTGAATCTGTGAAACCAACAGTTGGTATGAAACGCTCAGAACAACTGATGGACTATCATCGCAATATGGGTTATCTCAGCTCATCACCATCCTCAGTACGAGTGAGGTCGACTCTTAGCCAGTATAGCCCATTAAGTAAGCATATTCAAAATTATTTTGTACTTTTCATTCTATCTTAAAAGTATAGTTTATGTGCTTATGATAGAGTTTTCAAACACTAACTTCTGGAATGAATTTTATTATTTTTCACTGGTATGCTTTGTTTGCTTTGTGTTAATTCACTCCATTTCAGGTTTCATTTACAGCAGGTAATGGCAGCATAGGAAGGAAAGCAGGAGATAAAACAACTGAAAATATCAGTAGTTTTTTTAGGCAATGAAAGAAACACTTTTAATTTCAATATGTTTACTAAAGGAAGAAATAAATAGGCATGCTGTTTAAAAGTTACTGAAACATTCTCCCTAGCCAGTTAAGAATTATTGGTAATATCTTCAGCCCTCGTATGTGATTTGTCTTCCTCATTCAGTAACTAAAACAAAAATTCGCAATCTGTAGTCATCAGATGTAATCCTTCTTAAATTAATGCCTGACATGTGACCAGTCACACATCTACCAGAGAATGTAGGCACAGTGGCCACTTACTGCTAGAATAGCAAAACACAGAAGGGCTAGACATTTTTCCTTTACATAAGTCGGTGCTGGTCTTCATGTGTGCATTCTAAGCTATAAAAAACAGAAGCCAATACTAAAAGAAGGTTGGAACCACTTACAATGTCCTAACTTCCCAGTGCTCATGTGAGTCTTAAACAGTCAAATGACTAGTAATTCCATTCATTCATTCTAGAAGAATCACCTCCTCAGTATAGTGGCTAAGATAGGGTCTTGTTCCAATAACTCATACTTAGTATTGTGTTGTGAATGTGGTAAATTATTTGTTGAATAAATGGTTATACAAAGGTTTTTTGTTTTGTTTTTCCACGTTAATCATTTGAGAAACTTCTTAAAACACCTTTTTCCCACCCCAAGTCTATTGCGTCAAAATCCCCTCGTGTAGAGTCTGGGCATGTTTGTTATTATATTTTTGTGTTCCACAGGGAACTCTGAAGTGCATTTCTGGTTGACAGTTATATTAGACTATTAAAAACACATGTGAGAGGGCCGGCCAAGTGACTCAGTTGGTTAAGAGTGTGAGCTCTGAGCAACAGGGTCGCCGGTTCAATTCCCCACCCGAGCTGAGCTGCCAACAGGTGGCAGGATGGCTCAGCTTAAAAAAAAACAAAACATGTGAGATAGAGAAAAATAACTTAGTCTGGACTTAAAATTAGAAGAGAAAGTATATCAGATGATGATTTATATATTCAGTTTAAATAATTCAAATTATTTCTTATTTGTCGTGTATTTTCAGGAGGAGCTTCCAGGACATCCAGTGCTACCAGTGGTCTCAGTTGTAAGAGTGAACGGTCAGTTTTTGACACATCCGGTGGCCTGTTGCTAAGACCTAAGCCCTCTAATATCCGTACAGCTTGGTTATAAAAACTTTTTATAAAAACTTTTTACTTTAAACATTGTTCATCCAATTCTTGTATATTCTGGAAGTGCTCTTGTATATTACTATAATTCTCTGTGTAAACATCTATAATAACTGTTTTAAGAATTTTAAGGTATACAACAGTGAGTTGTAATTTATTGCAATTTGGTACAAAATTGTTTTCCAAAAGACAACTTAATGTAAATTAATCAGTGTTTCCTATGGGGATGTATTTATATGAGGTGATATGTATTTAACAGAGAAATGGTAACATGCATGTACATTTTCTCAGCATAGAAACTGATTCTGCTGTCATGCTGACAAAAACAACTGTGATAGTAGTACTGCACGTTGGAACCAACATGTTGACTATACAGGTCTTGTTTTATGTTTTTTTTTGTTGTTTCCATTTCTTACAAGCTTTAAACCACGAGCATAGCTCCTGAATTTGACTGGCTTTGTTTCCTGTTGGTTTCATAATTTAGGTGGTATGACTCATAACTTGGTTATCAGACAGTTATACCTTCTTAATGTAAAACAAATCATGAAATTTGTTTTCATTGGTGGAGCTGATTTAGATTTGATGAGGGCAAATCCTCGTGATTCCCCAGAGGTATCTCCTACTTCTGCATAAGTGCACTGAGATCTTAAAATTGAATCAACCATTCCAAACCATTTCAAACTGTATTAGAAAGTTCAACTTAGAAGCTCCTCTTTTGTGTTTTATACATTCAGGTAAAGTACTGTTAATGATTCTGAGAAATGAGGTAGGCCCTCCAATCTACTCATTGTGAATAGTTCATCCAAGGACCAGATCATCATAAGCAAAAACAAGTATTTAAAACAGCAATAGTTTGGAGAGCCAAGAAGCAGATCCTGAGTTGTGTCAGAACAGTGTTTTAAGTGATGCTGTTAACAAGTTGTGTTATATTGAGTATTGTACTAAGAGAGAAGATAAATAAGAAAGAAATACATTGTCTCACAGCTTTAGAAATTCCAGCTAGTGTTTTTAAGGGCTGAAAAAGAAAACTAAAATGTGTCAATAATAAAGGGGGGGGGAAACATTTTTTTTGAGGCTACTTTGAATGCCTGCTTATTTTCTTGGTTTGGGTTTACATGTTGAATACTGGAATTATCATTTTTGCTAGTCCCACTTTTAGAGGCCTAGTAGTAATCTTAATGGAGCTAGTAGTGATAGGTAGGGTGTGATACTGTTGACTTTTGAAATTAGAATATTTTTCTGGCAATCTGTAGGCTCTTCTTATTTTATATAACAAAGTATATCTCTATCTCAGTCATGGTTGCCTCTGCTGTCCTAGTTATCACTGTTTTGCATTACTGGCCTTTTCAGTATATCCTTAGAATATAGTGGGAAGTTTGCATATTAAATGTCAAACCTTTCTTTTTTTAATATGAATTCTTGATCTGTAGCCACAGTAATATTTGTATTGTTCTGAGTTAACTCAGGCTCTGTCGCATGTATGCTGAACTTACTTTTCTTAACCCCTTTGGCAGAAAGCCAATCCGCATTTTACTAAACATCAATTCAGAATTTCTTGGTCTTAGTTTGTATTGATAGATTTTGTTTAGGATAGGGAATGTGAAGCCTGGAAACAGAGGAGCTAAAAAAAAATTCATGTGGATACAACCTGACTGAGATTTTTCTGCTTCTTTCTTTGGGCTATAATTTGTTCGTTGTTATTTGATGTTCTGTTCTGGTGAACAGGTTTTCACATCATTTAGCGCTCTGCTTTGTATATAAACTTTAGCTATACTAATCCAAGGTTTTGTTTGTTAACGTATTGCACTTTTAATGTTTGAATAACAACCCATCTTTAAGAAGAGATAAGATAATGCTGAATTTAAAACTCAGCATTTGAACATCTGTCTTGTAGTGATTAGCCAATATTTTTAAATTGATTTTTAAGTTGTTAGGGAAAAAAATATGAAACCTTTTAATGTTCATAATGGCATTAGTCTGAGAACATTTTATGTGGTCTTTTCTGCCATATGTCAAGTACAACACGATTTCATAGATAAAGCTGTACTTTGATTTTAGATACTAATTCAATGCCTTTAGTTTTTACTGTGTTGATGGGAGGTTCATCTAAGTGTTACTAATAACAGGGATTCAATTTGAAAAGGAAAAGCTGGGAAGAGCAACAACATTCATTTTTTCAAAGCAGAATATATAGCTCTGTTGTCATGATTACTTATACATGATAACTATAAATAGAAGGAGAAGAGTTGAAAAATGTGATATTCTCTTATATAAGTCAAGGTACTTTGAAGTTGTTCTGGTTTAAGGGGCATTTTTATGAAGGAATCATAAGTGTACTCTTCCATTTTCAAGACCATAAAAAAGTAAAGGATCATCTAGCACTACTTTATATTTGGTTTACTTGTACCTTAAAATATATATACTTTGAAGATTTATATCTGCAACTAGAAATTATACCAATCCAAGGTCTAAATTGTCAGGCAAGATTCTTATTGAGAGTTATTTTCATATCTGTCAAATGTTAAACTAATGTTGCCTCCTTTTTAATAAGGTTCTATAAAAGATTTTGAACTGTTAAAATTATTTCCTAAGGGATAGCTATTGTCTTGTGCTTCCCTTACTTTTTTCACTCTCCATAAAAATCTGCTTCCTTAGCTCCTATTCCAAATAAAATTTTTCTGGTTTGCTTATAAATATAGTGTAACACAGTTGTTTTCAACCCATTAACCCAAATGTCCAAAAATGGATATTTAGACAACTTTAAAAAAGAGGTCATTGTGATGGATATGATTGTGAGCTTCTCATCTTCAGACTCAAATACTGCACACTGTAAAAAGTATTATGACCAGTATAATGTTGGAGACACAAGTTACTATATTTTGATCATTAAATTCATAAAATGTTTAATATCCTAAATGCCAAAGTCTTTACCTATAAATGATGTATACCATCCTAGAAAATGTTCTTAATGCTACTGGCTACTTTATTTCCATGAATAAAGATTAGTGAGAAACTTAAAAATCAGTATCCTTTTAAAATTTTTCAGTCCATTGTAATGTGTTTTAGGCATGAAGAACTAGCTTGGCGTAGTGAAGAAAGAAATAAAAGACTTAAAAGATAACTTGAGTATTGTTCCTATGTCTCAAATGCATGGTCTTGTTCCCATTGTAAAAATTATAATAACTTTTACATGCTTTATAAGACTAAGTGAGAATGAAGTTGGAAGGAGGGCATTAGTTATTTATAGAGTTTTTAAAGAGCTTGCTTAAAATTCCATTTTTGATCATCATCTCTTTAAACTACATTATTTAATTTGTTCTGTAAAATTGTTATGATGCTACCATGGACACCCTTATCAGTTGAAGGAGTGTTTTTTAGAAGTATCTATTTACATCAACATTTCATATGTATGATGTGCATTATGAGTGATAAGAAATATTCTTTTTAAAACTTGCTGCTAAAACATCAATTTAGGAACTCTTTTTGATGAGGGTTTAATAACAATGCTATTAGAATAAATCATGGAGTAGTTCTGCGGTGGTCTAGTTGAGCTCTCAACTATGAAGTTAAAGGGTGCTTATAACAAATACGATTAGATTATAGCAGAAAATTTTATTTGATTCTAAAATTCTGGTTACTGCTTTTTAATCCACTATGAGGTAACATATCATTATTGTCCTATAATGAGAGACGGTTTTTTTCTTATGAACCTAATTTCACATTTGGTATTATAAGATAGTAAAAGAATTTGAATAGTCACCAAAAACTGATTAAAAATGATGGTTTTAAATTTTAAGAGCATGAATAATTATAATGAGAGCCTTCACCAAAAAAAAAAAAATCACATTCTATATTGGGATTATAACTGATCTCCAGGTTTGGAGTATGCTTTGTTTCATTTCATTCTGAGAAACTTTATATTTCATGAAGAAAATATCCAGAATTACCAACAAATATATCTGCTTCCCATGCAGTTATGTATACTAACTAGGAAAACCTAATTCTACCATTAATTTGAGAAGTTTTCATTTTAAATTCTTTTGGGGAATGTGAAATGGTCATGGTCTTTTAGGTGAATATCCATAAGAAAATGACATCTCATAGGTTTTGTTGTTTAACTATTACAGAAATACAGAAAAGGGCACAAAACAAACGTACAACTAATATGGTCACAGAACAAACACGTGATCACCTACCTCTAGAGTATTGTCGGGACTCCCTCCCAGTCATGGCTTCCTTTGCCTGCCAAGAGGCACCTCTATCTTAACTTTTAACACCAGAGTGTAGTTTTGCCTGTTTTTTTTTAATGTCCTATGAATGGAATTATGTTCTTTTGTGTCTGGCTGCTTTTCCTGATCATATTTGTTTGTGAGATTCTTCCAATGTTGCTACATGTAGCTGGAATCCGTTTTTTCTCGTGTCTGTATACTAGTAGGACTACACCATTATTTCTTTCTTCTGTGGTTGGTGGGTATTTGAGGTGGTTTCCAGGTTTTGACTGTGACCAATAGTACTAACATGAAGGTTTTTGTAGGTGTGTCTTATATACCTGTGCATGATTTTGGTTGGGCATCTTAGGAGTGGAGTTGCTGGGTCATACAGTGTACCTTCGTAGTAGATAATGCCAGAGCTTTCCAGAGTGAGTGTACTAATTTACTCCTCCACAGAAGTGTATGAGTTCCTGTTGCTCCATGGCCTCACTAATGTTTAGTGTCATTTTTAAGTTTAACCATTTGGGTGGGTGTGTAATGGTATCTCATGATTTTAACTGTACTCCTCTCTCTAATAATCAGATTGAACCTTTTCCATGTTTATTGGCCTTGGGATATCTTTTGTGAAGTGCCTTTTAAATGTTAGATTTTATGAAATTTTCATTTACCTGAGGGAATGAAGCTATTCTGCTATATTATCTTCTAGAAATTTTACGTTTCACACTTAGGTATGCAGCTCAGCTGGCATTGTTGATTCGTCTCTTTTTCGCTAATTCTACTGTTACCTTAATTATTTACTTTCAGCTTTAGTCTTTGGGTTTAAATGCTGTTGTTTTTCCAACTTCTTGAAATGGATTTTCACTGGTTTTCAGCCTTTCTTCTTTTCTAATAGGTGCATTGAAGGCTATAAATATTTTAGCATAGCTTTAGCTGTTCCTTACAAAGTTTGATAACATGGTATTTTTATTTTCATGAAGTTTGAAATATTTTCGAGTTTCCATTATGATTTCCACTTTTTAAATCATGGGTTCTTTAAATATTTTTATTTACTGTTCTCCTTTCCATTTTTCTCTATTCTTCCTTTCTATTTCTCTTTTTATTTTTTTTTTTTAAGATTTTTATTGGGGAATTGGGGGAATAGGAACAGCGCTGGGGAATTGGGGAAAGGGGAACAGACAAGCCGCTGTCATCCTCTTCTTCAGTCTAGTTGTGGAGGACGTTGCTCCACCGGCCCAAGCCAGCACCATCATTGCGCTCTTCCTGGGCGAGGCAGATCAGTCGCCGGCTTCTGGATGGCCACTCACCGCAGCTGCTGGCCGCTCACGCTGGCTGCTGGCCATACAAGGTAGCCCATGGCAACCCACTGCACGCCGTCGCCAGCGACTCACGGCAGCCCAGCTCCAGGCCGAGCTGCCATCCAGCATCTCAGCTGTAGAGGGCAGTGTCACTGGCCCCTACATGTGGGATCCGAACCGGGGCCCTCCGGCATCCCAAGCCAGCCCCTAACCAACGCGCCACTCGGCCGGCCCTAAATTATGGGTTCTTTAGATTATATTTTCAATTGGATGTATTTTAAATTTGTATTTGTGTTTTTGGTTTATATGAAAAATTATAGAAAAAACTTGAAGCTCTAGATCAAGGGCAGCAAGTTACAACCCATGGGCCAAATTCAGCAGCAGTCCAGTGCCTGTTTATGTGGCTTTTATCTTTTCAAATGGGTTTTTAAAGTAAAAAGATTTTGTGACATGTAAATATTCTATGAAATTCACATTTCAGTGTTTGTACATCAAGTTTCATGGAACACAGCCACACGCGTTCATTTGTCTTGTCTGAGAGCTGTGTTGCATCAAAGGCCATCTGGCCATCAAAGCCTAAAATACTATCTCGTCCTTCAGAGAAAGAGTTTGTGGACTTTTGCTCTGGATATTTTCTTCCAGTCAAGATTTACTTGTGCTCCTGGCAGGCGGCAGTGGTGCCCACAACCTCCAGTCATCTTAATCCAGGTAAGGGACTGACAGTGACTGCAAGGGCCATACTAGTTCCAGTTTCCTCTTACTGCTGGGGTGTCCCAGTTCAAAACAGGTTTACCAGGGCTCCCCTTCCTTGGCAGGCCGAGGATACCTGTTTTTGTCACTATCTCCCTGAGAGGCTTTCAAACTCTCCAGTTCCTCAGCCTTTCAGCTGCATTTTCCATGATTTGCAGACACCCAATGGGGAAAACTGACCCAACTATCAGTCTCACTTCTCTTGGTCGTCTTGTCCCAGGATCTCAGCTCCATAGTTTTTCATGCCAATTTACCTCCCAAGTATCTTCATGCAGATTTCTATTTTAAATAGTTTGAACCCCTTTTCCAGTTGTTTTCAGAGGAAACATTTGTTTGTAATACCTGGTCTGCCAATATGGAAATCCGTTATAAGCCATAAATACACTTTGTTTTTAAAGATAATTCTTAGATCTTACAGTGAAAATGTCCAGTAAGTGGACCTGAAGGTGTTGGGGTAGCCGTCGAATGAAGCAGAACTATCTAGTAGATGCTTCTCTAAGAGACATCTACTAGATTAGGATAGATGTAACCTTGGACATGGTAAAACGGACCTTAGTTATTACGGTAAAACAAGACAGCACATTTTTACTGGAGATGCAGGAGTGAGTTACGTGGAAGAGCTTGGGAAGGCAGGTAAGGAGCAGAAGGTACAGAGGCACTGCAGCCCTCAAGCCCCCATCAGGAGAGACAGGAGACGTGGGCCTGCCTTTCAGGCTCTGCCGAGGATATAGGAACGCGTTTCCTCCAGGTCACTTGCAACAAGCTGGGACCAGGTGAACCGTTTGGTCTTCTGGACCAAAAGGCCTCATTCCTCACTTGTAATTATTTTCCTCTTGCTCACAAATGTATGAGTCAGATCCAAAACTGACTTTTTCTCTAGGTCTTGATAAATTGTTACAGAGAAGTGCTAGCAGATATGTCCTACACCCATATTTCTAATACTGGTAGGTGCTTTCTATACCCATGTATTTAAATCTAGTTATTTTCTTTCAAGGTCCACCTTCTATCACTTCCCCCATTGCAACTCCCCCCTTGCAGCCCTACTCAACCAAGATTTATTATATTAAACATTACATGATCTAACAGTGCCATTTCACTCCTCTCTCCTACCCCCATTTAAGCTTCTTTCAGGATGGGTTCCTGTCTTTTGATATCTTCCACAGACCCTAACCATCAATCATTAAATAGTAGCTTGCTAAATGATTTCAATGAATAGTGTCCACTTGTCATAAAATTCTTGTATCACAATTCTCTAATGGCACTAATACAGAGCACTTCCTAATCATGCAAAACTCTTGAAACTATGATTTAAAGCTTTTAGCAGAACCTCAGAATTCCTGGAGGCTGAGTTAAAGTGCATAAAATATAAGGTGAGATTATGGAAGCCACGATCTGTGTTAGTACTTTTGAGCCTTCAGTAGCATGGTCTGAGGTAAGAGAGAGAGGACATAATCTGTTTAAGTTTGAAAGCCAGAACTTTAAGAACTTTAGGTACTTATACATAGTATAATATTTGACATTTAGAAGCTGGGCCGATGAGTCACGTTAAAAAATATGCATTTATGGTCTTATTGTTAAATCCATGTGGCAGTTAATAAGAATTCAATAGAGAGCGTGCAATTAAGTGGTCTTTATTGGTTTCACATTCAGTTATTCTCTTCGTCACTTCAGTTAGTTGTACAAGTATGATAACGTTACTTTATATTTTCTGTGGGAATTTAAATGTAAAATAAATACAAAATACATCTGTGGTTTAATGAACACTCAGTGAAGCTTTCTTTTTCTTTCTTTTTTTTTTCCTGAGGTATTCCGTTCAGTCTGGTGTTATCCCACCTCTTTCCTTTTACTTCCCCTGGGAAAAGTCT